ACCTAGGAAGATAAGGGTAAATTTCAAGGTAACCACAAAAAAAGTTAACAAACCTACTAATCAAAATAAAGAAGAAACACATAAAGTCTCAGTAAAAACAAAATCTACAAATACAAAAGAAATGAAAAAAAAAAAAAAAATCCACAAACGAAAGGAACTCAGCACAGCAGAGTAAGAGGAACAAAGAAATCGTTAGCACCACAAAAAAAAAAAGCACTACAAAACGACAATAACCTCACACCTATTACTCTGAATGGAAATAGTCTAAATGCACCGATAAAGAGACAGAGAGGATTGAATGGATTAAAAAATAGGATCCATCAATATGCTGTCTACAAGAGACACACTTAGAAACACAGACATAAATGTATTAAAAATCAAAGAATGGAAAAAATATATCAAGCAAACAGCCACCAAAAGAGTGGGAGTGTCAATACTAATCTCAGATAAAACAGACTTTAAAACAAAATCCACCACGGAAGACAAAGAAAGGCACTACATCATGATTAAAGGGATGATCCAGCATGAAGACATAACCATAATAAATATCTATGCACCCAATGATAGGGCTCCAAAATACGTAAAACAAACTCTTAACAGCACTGAAAAGAGAAATGGACAGTTCCACAATAATAGTAGGAAACTTCCACACACCATTCTTGGTAAAGGACACAACATCTAGAAAGAAACTCAACAAAGATACAGAAGATGTAAAGGCCACAATTAGCCAACTTGAACTCATACACATATGGAACACTCCATCCAACAGCTGCAAAGGACACATTCTTTTCCAATGCACATGGAACGTTCTCCAGAACAGACTACATCTTAGGCCACAAAGCAACCCTCAACAAAATCCAAAACACTAGATAACAGTGTATCTTCTCTGATCAAAATGCCAACCCTCAACAAAATATGAAACACTGAGATAATACAAAGTATCTTCTCTGATCACAATGCCATCAAAGGAGAAATTAACAACAGGAAGAGCAAGGAAAAAAATTAATTACATGGAAACTAAATAACACTCTGCTTAAGAACCACTGGTTAACAGAAGAAATCAAAGATGGAATCAAAAAATTTCTAGACTCAAACGTGAATGAAAACACATCATACAAAACCTTTACCTTTGGGACACAGCAAAGGCAGTCCTTAGAGGTCAATTTATAGCAATAGATGCACACATCAAAAAAGAAGAGACAGAATCGAAACATTAGCTACACAACTAGAAAAAATAGAAAGAGAACAGCAAAACAAGCCTACAGCCACCAGAAGAAAGGAAATAATAAAGATCAGGGCAGAAATAAATGAGATAGAGAATAGAAAAATAACAGAATCAACAAAACTAAAAGTTGGTTCTTTGAAAGGATCAACAAAATTGACAAACCACTGGCCAAACTGACAACAGTAAAACAGGACAGTATGCAAATAACCCAAATAAGAAATGAAATGGGGGGCATTACAACAGATCCAACTGGATTAGAAAGGATCATAACAGAGTATTCTGAAAAAGTATAAACCAACAAATTTGCAAATCTAGAGGAAGTGGACAAATTTCTAGAAACACACTACCCACCTAAACTATCACAAATTGATGATGAAAATCTGAACAGACCCATAACAAGGAAAGGGACTGAAAAGGTAATAAAAAAAACTCCCAACAACAAAAAAAGCCCTGGCCCAGATGGCTTCACTGGAGAATTCTACTAAACATTCAGAGAAGAGCTTACACCAGTACTACTAAAACTATTTCAGAACATAGAAAAGGAAGGGATACTTCTAAATTCATTCTATGAAGCCAGCATAACCCTGATACCAACACTAGGTAAAGACACCACAAAGAAAGAAAAAAAATTACAGACCAATATCTCTCATGAATATAGATGCAAAAACTCTCAACAAAATTCTAGCTAACAGAATTCAGTATCATATCAAAAAATTAATACACAACAACCAAGTAAGATTCATACCAGGTATGCAAGGATGGTTCAACATTAGAAAATCCATCAATGTAATCCACCACATAAATAAAATAAATAAAAAGAATCACATGATGGTCTCAATCGATACAGAAAAAGCATTCGACAAAGTCCAACACCCATTCCTGTAAAGACTCTCAATAAAACAGGTACAGAAGGGAAATTCCTCAACATAATAAAGGGCATCTATGCAAAACCAACAGCTAACATCATTCTAAATGGAGAGGTGAAAACATTCCCCTTGAGAACAGGAACGAGACTAGGATGTCCTTTATCACCACTCCTATTTAACATCGTGCTGAAGTCCTAGCTAGCGCAATAAGGCAAGAAAAAGAAATAAAGGGCATCCAAGCTGGTAATGAAGAAGTAAAAGTGTCCCTATTTGCAGAGGATATGATTCTATATATAGAAAACCCAAAAGACTCCACAAGGAAACTACTGGAACTAACAGAAAGATTCAGCAGAGTAGCAGGACACAAGATAAACACACAAAAATCAGTTGGATTCCTATACACCAACAAACAGAATGTTGAAAAGGAAATAAGGAAAGCAATACCATTTATAATAGCCCCGAAAAAAATAAAACACTTAGGAATAAATCTAACCAGGGATGTAAAAGAACTATATAAAGAAAACCACAAAACACTACTGCAAGAAACCAACAGAGACCTACATAAACGGAGAAACACACCATGCTCATGGATAGGAAGACTCAACATTCTGAAAATGACAATTCTACCCAAAGTAATCTACAAATAAAATGCAATCCTGATCCAAATACCAACAACATTCTTTAAAGAGATGGAAAAACTAATCATTAACTTTATATGCAAAGGGAAGAAGCCCTGGATAAGTAAAGCATTATTGAAGAGGAAGAATAAAGTAGGAGGACTTGCACTACCTGACCTCAGAACCTACTATACAACTATGGTAGTCAAAACAGCCCGATACCGGTACAACAACAGACGCATTGACCAATCGAAGAGAATCGAGAACCTAGAAGTAAATCCACCCAACTATGGTCACCTGATCTTCAACAAGGGCCCAAAGTCCATCAAATGGGGAAAAGAGTCTTTCTAACAAATGCTGCTAGCAAAATTGGATGTCTATCTGCAAAAAAAATGAAACAGGACCCCTACCTCACATCATACACAAAAACTAATTCAAAACGGTTCAAAGACCTAAGTCTAAAAACAAAAACTACAAAGATCATGGAAGAAAAAATAGGATCAACGCTAGAGACCCTAATGCATGGCATTAACAGGATACAAAACATAATTAACAACATACACACTCCAGAAGACAAGCTAGATAACTGGGATCTTCTAAAAATTAAACACTTATGCTCATCAAAAGACTTCACCAAAAGAGTAAAAAGAGAACC